CTCAACAACTCATTGTCAAAAAGTTAGGGGAAGGTTTACAGCGACCTGCCTCTAGTGAATAAAAATCTGTTCTTCTTCATTGCTCCATTTCACCACAGTTTGGATTTTACCCCAAATTGGAATTTGATTCAACTTAGTCTCAGTATACAAAAGGAAGCAACAAAGAGTTTTAAATCTTAAAAGCCATTTGTGTTCAAACCTATTCCATAAACAAAAGATCTAAGATACATGGAAATAAAAGCAGCCAGCTAAAAAAGACTTGATATCACTTTAGATGGTGCATAAAAATAAAGGAAAAAGTTAGTAAGCTACTATACCTTCTGCAGCTTTCTTATGGTAATTGAGAATTTGGGAAGTTCATGTCTAACACTTGTGGCAGACCCCATGTTGACAAAATATGACATTTACAAAAAATAAATTTAAAGATTTCATCATGTTGAACTCAACTCTTGGTGAATTTATTTGTGCAGTTTTTGGTCAGTTCTATGTTTGCTATTGTTTTCTTTTTTAAGTTTCTTGACTTTCCAATCTACCTGCCAGCCTTTGATGAAAATATTTTGCCTAATATAGAATTAACAGAATATCATTGTAGAAAGTCAGCACCCACCCACACTCCTAGAGAAGGAAATACTTTGGGGGTTATTTAAAAAGGCAGAATATTATATTTCCCCAAAGGAATAATGGAGAGAAATCTTAAAAGGCAGACACCAGGCCCTGCCCTAAGTAGAAACTGAGGAGACCATCTTTTAGAAGTGCAGATTTGGTAATCCATTCAGAAAGACTGGGGCAGTCTATTCATAAGCAAAGAGCAAACAGAAACTCCAGATAAGCAAACACAATTAGGCAAGCCAAAAGTTGACAAGATTAGTTCACACAAACACCTAAGATTTGCATTTCCCCTTTTGCCTATAGAGCCAACCATGACCCCTACATGACCCCATAGGAATCAAGAAGTTATAAAGACCCATCCACTCTCAACTCCATTGGTCAGCTGTCCCAGAACTGCATGCTGTTGCAGGTTCTGCTCATCAATAAAATGGAACCTTCTTTCATCAGCCGCCTCCATTTTTTATTTCCAGCGTCTTAGCCTCCATTTTATTTACTCCCGGCTTGGAACTGGACCTGATGATTTTTCTTCCCATATCAGAATATTAGACTTGGAAGGACCCTTGGAGGTATTCTTTTTCTGAATAAGTTTGATGTTGCTCATATCACAAAAGAAATAAAGTAAAGCAAAACAAAACAACCAATAACATAAGCAGTGTCCTGCTAGATCAGATTCCCAACTGCCTAGTCCAGCAATTTATTCTTCCAGTGGCCAAAAACTGCACAAGGAAGCCATTAGTCTCCCAGCGGAAGACCTTCAGAGACAGTCACACTGCTATCAAGGATAATATGCATTGATCCCCTTGGTTTCCATGAATTGGTCCAGCCCTTTTTTAAAGCCATCCAAGCAAGGTAGCCAGCACCAGGTTCCATAGGAATGAATTACTAAGTCAGATTACACATTGTGGTTTTGTTTTTCTTTTGTCTATCCTGATTCTTCCAGGATTCAATTTCATTCAATGATCTCTGCTTCCCATATTTTGGAAAGGTGAAAATCGTTTCTCCTTATCCACACCATGCATAATTTTGAATACCTTAACAATGTCCCCTCTCATTCGCCTCTAGACTAACAAGCTTCAGATGTCTCAACCTTTTCCCATGGGGAAGCTGCTCCAGCCACTTAATCGTCTTAGTTGTCCTCCTCTGACTTTTACTAGCTCCATCACATCCTTTTTGAGGTGCAGAGACCAGAACTGCACACAACATTCAGATGCGATCGCACCATTTATATAAAGGCACTATGATATTGGCATCTCTATTTTCACTTCTGTTTCTTATTGTCTCGAACATGCTGTTGGCCTTTTTTTACAGCAGACATGCACTCATCGACACCTTCTGTTCAACTGTTCACCATTATTCCTAGAGCTCTTTTCTCATCTGTCATACTAGTTCAGATCCCATCCAAATGATGCTGGCCATTAGAAAAATTCTAGAAACCCTTTGGCCGATTAAAAATTACTTTGTTTAAACCACAGACACTTCTAATTCCATAAACATGTTTTTCAATGTTCTTCTTTGTTATTTTCAAAGTGATGGGATACTCATACTAACTGAGAAAAGCATGTATTGTGTAGTGAATAAGCTTCCAAGTCCAGGTCTTCTGAAAACTCCTCTAACAGTGAATAAAGACTTAGAATAGCACCTAATGCCTTGACCTACATTCTGTCTCCAACTCTCTCACCCTAGATGACTGTTCTTTTCAGCAGATGCTGAGCCACCGGGTGGCAGTAGAGGAACAAGATTGACTAAATTGCTGCAAAGCTTAAAATAGTTATGATTAAGGTTCACCTTCTAAAGCAGGGGTCCTGGTCCGTGGACCAGTATCAGGCCGCAGCATGCCAGCAACTGGTCTGCACAAACAAGCAAAGCCCCATCCGCGAGATGCAGGTAGCACACAAAACCACGCACCCTCCAGTCTGCGCAAAAACCTCTCTCCACGGAACCGGTCCCTGGTGTCCAAAAGGTTGGGGACCTCTGTTCTAAAGAGGATCCCAGGGGCATTGATGGAATTATTTAATTCTGTGTAAGTAATATGTACAATCTCTAGTAATTTCATAGGAATTAAATTTTTTATTTATTTTTGTTTGTATTCTGCATAAAAGTTGCTAGAGCAAATCTGATATCACTGATGAAGTCCTACAGTGAGTCAAGTGTACCTTTACATTACAACTTGGAGCCATATTGTATTCAAATGATTTTTTAAATTAGCTTCACTCTTTAACTGAAATAACTGTGGACAAACTGCAATTTAAAGTAAGGACAATATCATTATATTCTTTGGTTCTTTATTCTTAATGCAAATGTACTTTTTCCATAGGGATTTTTTCTCTAATGCAGTGTCACTTTTGATTCCCATGCTTGATGGCCCTATACAGCAACAGCATAAAAGTTTTTGTTTTAATTTGGGCTTCTCAGAAAGAAAGGTCTGAAAAAATCTAGTCTAGCTGCAGATCCTAAATATGTTTAACACTGCTTTCTGCCTTATCCATGGCTGAAATTAAAGTATTACTTCCCCCCCGCCTTCATTATGTGCAATAATAATATCATGAAAACCCCCGCACCATAATTCTGGAACAAGATAAGGTCTCTTTTGAGCCTTGGTGCTTTTGTTACTTCTGGGACTTAAAATTATTCAAGATATTCTAGTAAGGAAGTTCTGCAAATACATACATAGATTTTTCATATTTTTGCAGTGAATTAACATGACAGGATAGTAAAAATACATCATGGAAGTCCTCAAGAATAAGACACACAAGCTTGGTGTTCAAATTTTTATTTTTAATCAAATTTTTATTTCTTCTTGCAAAATAAGGAGTTTTGGTGTAGCATGTTTGTGGATGTTATTTTGGTGAGAGTAAAGCCGATTCACTTACGTTCTGGATCTTTGATACTGTGGCATGTTTATAATAAATAAACCATAGTTCATACATTTTCAGATAATACTTCCAGTGAATATTGTGAAGAGGTATGGGTACAACTAGCTACTAAATTAGAAATGGCATTTTGTTTCTCTCTGAAGCATGATTACTGAGAGTTTGACACTTTCATACTTGAGAGCCAAAAGTTCCCGGACCTATGCTACGTTGTGGGAAAATGGGAACAAATATCTTTTTATGGAACGTTATGTTCTAGGACGGTGTAATATTACCCTTTCATGGAAGATTTAAACAGGCTTTAACAAACAACTGGCATAAAACCTTTATGGTGGCAAGAGCTGACATAGCGAAATACAGTGTTTGCATTCAATGTGTGTACAGGTAGTCCTTGACTTATGACCACAATTGAGCCCCAAATCTCTGTTGCTAAGCAAGACAGTTGTTAAGTGGATATTGCTCCATTTTATAACCTTGCCACAGTTATTGTTAAGTGTTAAGAATCACTGCAGTTGTTAAATTAGTAGCATTGATGTTAAGTGAATTTGGCCTCCCCATTGACTTTGCTTATTAGAAGGTCACAAAAGGTGATCACATAACCGTAGGATACTGCAACTGTCATAAATATAAATCAGTTGCCAAGGGGGTAATTTTGATCATGTGACCATGGGGATGCTGCAATGGTCATCAGTGTGAAAAACAATGATAAGTCCCCTTTTCTAATATCGTTATCTTTGAACAGTCACTAAATGAACTGTTGTAAGTTGAGGATTACCTGTACTGTGCGTGTGTTTGGGGGAGGGCTTTAATAATGATTCCTATAAGTTCCACTCTAGTCCATTGCAATTGAAGATTAGGTGTGCAAAAAACCCCTCGTCCCTCCCCAATTCAAATCTTTAGAAGACCACTGAAACTTTCTGTTCACTGAATGCCTTCTGCCTAGCACTGGGCTTTAAACCAATGCTGAATGATGCAGGAATATGTTTTTATTTGGTTGGCTTTTTATTTTAGGTATTTGTAAACTATTTTTCAAAGATTTGTTTAGCAAAGAAAAAAGAATTCTGTCATTAGAATGTAAAGTTATTATGGATACAGAAACAGCTAATATATATTTTTGGTGTAAAGTTTTGGAGAAAAGTATAACAATTGCAATTTGTATTTCTGCAACAGTGTGACCCATGGACCACAATCCTTCTTGGTTCATGCTGACGCCAGCTGCTGAAGCAAGTGATACTATACCTTTGGGAGCCTGAACTGAACCTGGAATTGAGTGATTTTAATCATAAATACCTTATAGCAGTGATGGCGAACATTTTAGAGACCGAGTGCCCAAACTGCAACCCAGAACTCATTTATTGCCGGGTGCCAGGTGGGCGTGGCCCACTGGGTGGGTATGGCTGTGGTGGTCATGGCAGACTGGATGGGCGTGACCAAGGTGGGTGTGGTCACCTCAATGTTGCTCGTGGGGAGGGACACCTGTGGGGGCCGGGCAGGGTTGGGGGAGATCCAGGAGGTGGAGTGGTGGGTAGGAGGCTCATCCTGTGGGGTGAGGCGAGGCAGGGTGGGGGTGCCATTATCTCAGGGCAAGGCAAGGGGCTGGGGCTGCTGCTGCCTGACACCATCGGCCCCCGCACACAGAGCGAGCGCATGGAGGCTGACATTGTCCGTCAGCAGCCACAGCCTGCCAGCCCCTCGACCGGCTCACTCTGGGGCTCCGTAGCCCGCCATCAGCAGTTCAGAGAAGTGCCCACAGAGAGGGCTCTGAGTGCCGCCTCTGGCACGCATGCCATAGGTTCGCCACCCCTGCCTTATAGCATTCATATGAGTATCAGACAGCTCTATGGATGGGAAATGGAAAATAAATTCTAAAATCAATATTGGAAATTGTTCTTGAAATATGAAATACTTACTGTACAGTATAGGGCTTTACAGTGTTTAAGTGCATAAAATCTTCGTATTTTGTTCAAATGTTTCTGGCAATTACTTTCTGTAATGCCAATTCATTCCAAAAGCTTGATAGTTTGATAGGTCCCCCATCTCTATATTTCAGTCTTCAATGGAGCTACTCAAGAATATCTTAGGAGAAGCAAAGGGCAAGTCCTCACAGGGAGCAATTGAATTCTGAACTGGATATTGTTTACTGTCTTGCTTAACATTTGCTGCCTTGTAGTAACCAACTTTTGTTGCTCGAGTCTGAAGTGTTCCCATCTCAAAATCCCAAGTCTGCCCTCTTCTTATTTTCTTCAAAGTATTTTTGAAGCCTTCTGTATTGAAATAATAGATCAAGGGGTCCAGGGTACAATTCATACTTGCAAATAGCATAGTGACGATAAGGGCGTTGCGCACTGAAGCCTGCATGGTTAAATCAGTCTTAATCACGTTGGCTTTTATCATCCCATAGACTGCCAGAATGGTGTTGTAGGGTACGAAGCAGATGATAAAGATGACCAGATTGACTACAAGCATGCGAATGGTCTTTTCTTGTCGTAGGGTCTTGGCCCCACGGGTTTGGCACAGTTTCTGAAAAATTCGGATTGAACAGACCGTCACAGAGGTCAGAGGGAGGAGAAAGCCAAGAATCTCTGCTAAAATGACCAGACCGAAGATTTTTCCCTGCCACAAGTGCTTACTGAAACTTTCAAAGCACACAGTAATTTCATTTTGTTTAGAATTTGTTCCACTTTGCTTAATACACGGAGTTGTCTTGTGGATTACAGCAACTGGAATAGAGCTTACCAGGATTAGTACCCAAACCACACAGCAGAGCAGCCGGGCCACTTTGGGACGCCGGAGGTGGCGCCAGCGTAGTGGGTAGACAATAGCAATAAATCGGTCAAAATTGATGCACATCAGGAAGAGGCAGCTACCATACATATTTATTTGAAAGAGGGAACCTGAGACTTGACAAAGGAAACTTCCAAAGGGCCATTCTCCCATGTGATAATAGTAAATACGGAAGGGCAAAGATATGGTGAAAAGGAGGTCACTCACAACCAGGTTACACATGTAGATGGCTACCACTGACTTGAGCTTCAGATAGTACAAGAAGATCAAGAGGGATGCAATATTGAGACATACGCCTGCTATGAAGATCAAGCTGTATCCAATCAACTGCAGTTGATGAATGTGACTATAATTTTTGCATATAGTAACATTGTCAGCTGACATGCCTGGAAATCAGCTGAAGAAAAGACTTTGACAGATCTGTTTAAGATTCTGGGAGAAGCAGAGATTACGAGAGACCAAAAAAGGGCCCAGAATTCAAGTTGGTGCTCATCATTATATTCCTTAATTCAGATGATGGTCCTAACTCTTTGACTTGGACTTCAGGCTTCACAATCCATTAGAGTCGAGGAGGTTTAGGGCCGTTCTCAGTCATAGAACGATGAGTCTAGATGAAAATGAGAAAAAGTGTTTCATTATAGCATCCCCACAAAGAATATTGAATAAAGAATAATGGGGTGGGAGGTTATGAGTGGAGAAGGGGAGATCAAGCATTAAAGTCCCCAAAAATGAATGGCACTTCAATTAGAGTTGATTGGTGTAGTGCAGTGGTAGGCAACCTTGGCTCTTTTATGACTCGTGGACTTCAGCTTCCAGAATTCCTGAGCCAGCATGGCTCAGCTTGGAAACTCTCCCTTTCCCCTCAGAATGGCTGGCTCAGGAATTCTGGGAGTTGGTCCACGAATCATAAAAGAGCCAAAGTTGCCTACCCCTGATGTAGTGGCTAAAGCACCAGGCTGGAGACTGGGAGTTCTATTTCTTTTTTTAAAAAAAGTAATTTTATTGGTTTGTCAAAATATAAAATACAAAGAAAAAATTAAAAAAGTAATAGAAAAGTAGAAAAAGGGGGAGGGAAAAGAAAAAAGATAGTGTGAGAAAAGAAGAGAAAAGAAAAAGGCACCAACTTCTGACTTTCTTTAGCACAGTAGAAGATAACATTACAATCACAACTTTTTGTTTTACACAACAGTATGTACAAACCATTTCTATAACAATAAACCTATCTAATTAACAAAAACAAAAACAAAATTTCATTTTCTTTTTCATTGCAAGCACAAAATCTGGAAGCAATTTCAAAATAGAAGCAAGATTAAATATATTCTCATCTTTGGATGAAAGAATCAGTTTGACCTTCTCTGCTTCTCATTGCTGTGGGGAATGATATATATATCTATTGACTCATTAATCTTTATCCTAGTTCATATTAAGAGAATCCTCTATATAAATTCGACCTTTTTTTTAACCCTAAAGGGAGAAAACACCTTTCCTAGTTTAGATATTTTACTAACTTTAAGCAATACTCAAATATTATACATAAAAAGTAAAACAAAACAACAACAACAAAAACCTTTCTTCATTTTAAACCCCAAACCCAAACCTGCATTAGGGCTTTCACAGTATTACAAAAAGAACAAACCAAGAAAGAAACGGAGGACATACATTTACGCACTTGTTGTATACATATGAAGCTACCTTAATACTTCCTTTCAATACATATGGAGACTGGGAGTTCTAGTCTTTCTTAGGCACAAAGCCAGTTGGGTGACCTTGCACTAGTTATTCTTTTTCAGCCCTAGGAACAGGCAGTGGCAAACCCCGTTTGAAATCTTCCCAAGAAAACTAAAGGAACTTGTGCAAGCAGTCATCAGGAGTCAACAATGACTTGAAGGCATCAAAAAACAAACCAACCAACTTAAACTGTAATAATAAATAACAAAATATAAAAATTATGAAAGGAGAAATCAAAAGTTCTTATAAATATATATATATTAAAAAAAACACATTTCTGCGGATGTTTCTGTATTTTTCTGTTAATTTTGGAGCTAACTATTTGTTATGTGCACCCAGGACTGATGCATTCTAAATAACAGAGGTGGGTTCCAGCTGACAGCAGCGGGGGAGGAATAGCAAACCTCCACAAAAGGACGCTGCACCAGTTTCGAACCAGTTTTGAACTTTTATAGAATTGGCTGATTTTGATAGCTAAATGTGGCTTTGTTTCTTTCTTCTTTTCTTTTTCTGGCTCCACTGTTATTTGAAACCAGAGCAAAGCTGATGTTTCCTTTGCAGTGACATAGTTCTGCTGAACCTGTGGGCAGTCCATTTTCCTATTTGCAGAAACTTGTTTCACACACAGAGACATGCACAGAGAAAGAGACAGAAAGACAGACACAGATACACACACAGAGAGAGGGTGATTGTTTCTGGGTTTCTACTGCCCTAGCAAGTATTTCAAGGAGAAAGGTGGCTTGGTAGCTTGGAACTGCTTTGGTTTAGTGGCTAAGGTACCAGGCTAGAGGCCATGAGTTCAAGTCCCATCTTAGCCATAAAAATCAGCAGGGTGACTTTGGGCCAGTCACTCTCAGCCCAATGCACCTCATGGGTTGCTTACTATGGGGAAAATAGGAGGAGAACTGTGTATTGGATATGGTTGCTACCTTGCATTTGTAAAAATAATAAAGGTGGGATACAAATAAATAAAAATCACTTTTAACTGCTCTACCGCATACAGTAGTGGCCAAAATTGTGGAAACCTTTTGGGAAAAGTATACAGTAGAAATGCCACCTTTGGTTAAGTTTCCACCAATTTTTCTTCTAATTTCTTTATAAGTGTAGACTTGTTCACTTAATAATACTATTTTACATCGCTTTCTGGGCAACCAGTCATTTTGTACCATTACTTTAATTTTATTACATTTTACAAGCTCACTAAATGAAAGAACACAAAAAACCCCGAACCAACTTGATAGCGATCACATAACACATTGACAAATGTCCTCCTCTCAGCTTCAATACATGACATCAATAACTGAATCCTACTGTGATCTGATTGGCTCATTGCCAAAACACGGTGACACCTGATTGGCTCTCTAAACACTCATGCTCATTGGCTACAATCAGACGAAGGAAAGCTACCTGATATCAACCTAAGCAAGTTGTGCTTCCTTTTTCTGCTTATTTGGCTATAACTTTTCATAGAATACAGTACAGATAATTGAACAAACTTTGTTGCATTACATTCTTGATTAAATTATCTTCCCATTGATTTATAATTTTATGGTACTACTCCAAAAAAAGTGGTGCTATTAGCCATCAAACCTCAAAAATACACTTTTCCCAAAAGGTTTCTTCAATTTTGGCCACTACTGTAAATAAGTGCTTGGAGCAAAAATTATGACTACCTGAGCAATAAAATCCTTACCTGCAACCCCTTTCTTTCTGAAGCCCAAGAGCTGAGAAGTGGGATGAGACAGTGAAAAAACAAACGGCTGCAAATGCAGCACTGTTGCTGAGGGCCTGAAATGTGGTCACATGACTGTGCAGGAGAGTGGCCCAACCACTGGAACTTTGCATCCGGGTCTTAAGTCCCCCTTTTCTGATAGGTCGTAACTTTGAATGATTGCTAAGCAACCAGTCATAAGTTGAGAACTACCTGTAACAATCCTGTTATTAAGAACTTTGATGGTGTCCATGTGTAATTGCAGGAGGAGATGGTGGACTTCTGTTATCTCCTTCTCTGGGGATAAACCAATCTGTTCAGGATGAAGCCAAGAAGCCATTGTTCTCTACCTTGCCTACCTTTAGCATTTCCTACCATGAAGAAACAGGCAGGAAGTGATCTTTTCCCATCTCTTCCTGCAAGAAAATTTGCAGAGCCACCCATCCAGGTGCTTCAAATGAAATATCTGCTAGCACAGCTTTTACCTGCTTTCACCAGCCGGCTCCTTGTCTGAAGGAAAAAATCAGACTTGCCAGAAGTCTGGATGGAGCAGTTAGGAGCACAGTCCTTGCTGCTTAGATCATGTGCTGTAATACCCTTCCCAAAGTAGAAAAGCAAGGGACTTTGAAGCAGAATCAAGCTTTCCAGTACTGCAGATATTATATCAAAGAAGAGGAGGCTTGGAGATTATAGCTTCAGAAGTTATTTGAATGAGACTGAGGAAGCTCTGATCATTGGGGTTTCCATCAATTAGCAGAGGCCAAAGAGTGAAGTCCTGCTGATTTGCTGTCCTGGCAGAGAACTTCAAAATGTGTGCCAGGAACTGTTCATGACTTCATAACCTAATTAGAAGCCTTTGGTCTGTCCCAGTTATTATCTACTCACATTTACTCAAGAGGGCGTAGGTTAAATCTGAGTTTTTCTATTACATGGCATAATAATGATATTATTCATTAATTTTTAAATAGTTCGCAATTTGATGGTCTTTAGGCTTAGTTTCAGAGCCTCTGTAATGGCTAACAGAACTAAAAGCTTTCCTGATCATTATATCTGATGAAGTGAGTTGTAGCTCATGAATCCTTAGGTCTTTTAACTATTTTTTTCTTTGGAAAAGGTGCTACCAGATCATTTCTGATTTTTTTTTCTTTTGCCAGCATAGATTAGCATGGTTCTCCTTCTACCTGTTCACTAGATGAAACACAATTCTGCTGAAACTCTCTCCTTCCACTGAAGGAGATTACTGATTGCAACAGGGACATGGATGATTGAAAGGAGAGAAGGTTGATAGTAACTCACTTAGTAACCTCCTGCTGAACAGAATCTGGAGATCTTCCACTTTCAGGAAGCTGACACCGATAAAATGAAAGTGGTGGATAATCTGGAATGAATCACGTGGTAAAGTCAACATGAGGGTTACAGCATGATGGTGACAGGTGGGAGGCAGGGGTAAGCAGTACATCACTTGTCAGCACCCCTAATAAGCTACATAAGCAATACAGCTTAAGATTTCTTAAATTATATTCTACGTCAGGTGTATTACAAGGAAAAAGGAACTAGCTTGCAAAATCTCAGAAGCAAGGTCAGTGCTGGCTATTAACTTGGGATGAGGCCACCCTTTTATCACCAAGTGGGTCCTTCTTGATGTTTTTGATGATCTTTATGTATCTTGATGTAAGGGAAAGCTGACTGCCATTTACTGGATACAAATGGAACGCCCATCTCTTATTTTGCAGTTTTGCAAATGCTTATTCTTATTTCCAGGCTCAGTGATTTCCCTTAAATAAGCTCCCTCATGCTTCACGTGAAGTACAGGGAGAGGAGCTGGTTTGAACAAATCCCACCTGCCTATTGCCCAGGTTAGAGTGGCCCTTGAGGACAAGGTTAAGAGATTGAAGGGAAGGGGGCATATCTGCGCCACTCTAAAGTGTCCCCTAGGGATAATCCTAGTCCTTTGGAAGCACCTGACTGCAACACCAGATGAATGGTCAGTGGAGCACAATGGATAGCATTCAAGATAACTGCTGCTTAAAAGGAAAAGGACTACTTTAAAAGTGAAATAGCTACGGATGACTAAGATATGGGTTGGGCATAGGTTGGAGGCTACATTGTGCAACAAGGTAGCAAAAAGAGGCCTTTGGGCTAAAATTATGGGGCTAGGGGCAGGTAAAATTTTGGGATTTTTTAAAAAAACGTTTTGAATATCTTTTTCCAGAATGTAGGACCAAAGGAACAACAATGCTTTTTTCAAATAAGATTGACCCTGAAATATTCATTTGCTTCTAAAATAATATTTTGAGATATTTGAATTTTTGTCCAGTCCCTGAGTTAGCCCCAGAGATGTCTGTATATTTTGTGGGATACATAACATCCTTTCATACTATTATTTGGACATCAACTATACAGTGATGGCAAATCTTTTAGAGACTGAGTGCCCAAACTGCAACTCAAACCCCACTTATTTATTGCTGGGTGCTGACTGGGTGGGCGTGGCTGCAGTGACCACAGCTGACTGGGTGGGCATGGCCACAGTGGGCATGGCCACCTTGATGATGCTTGTGGGGAGGGATGCCTATGGGGGCCGAGCAGGGTTGGGGGAGATCCAGGGGGTCTCTGGCGGCTGGGGTGGTGAGGCGAGGTGAGGCAGGGCAGGAGTGCCAATTGCCGTGGGGCAAGGCAAAGCAAGGCAGGGGCTGGGGCAGCTGCTACCTGACACCATCGGCCCCTGCACACAGAGGCCAGAGAGTGCATGGGGGCTGACAGTGTCCGTCAGCAGCCACAGCCTGTCGGCTGCCCTGCATCATGGTGAACTAGTCACAGAGCCCCATCGGTGCGGGCAGAAACGGCCCCAGGATGGCTGGAAGGAAGCCTTTGCCCGGCTTGGGCCCCATCTGCTTGACGGCTCTGACGGGGGCAGCAGCTGCTGCTGCTCTAACCAGCCAACCACGCAGGGAAGCAGGAGGAGGTGGAGGTTCAGCCGGGGGTCTGGAGCTGCCTCAACTGCTCACTGGCAGCCCGACGAGGAAGCAGATCTTGCGCACCGGCTGCCCCTCCACCTCCTCCTGCTTCCCTGCGTGGTTGGCCGGTTGGAGCAGCAGTAGCTGCTGCCCCCGCCCAGAAATTCTGCAACTAGGAGCTCCTGCCACCCCAGCTGACCCCCCCCCCGAGCAGCCCAGTCTGACCAAGACAGTAGGCGAAGCAGAGAACAGGTTGTTAAATGATTTGAAACCCACTACTGGTCGCTTCCAAAGGCTGCTCACTCACTCTCCCGCCAAAACCTGCTATAGGTTTCCCTCACCCCACCCAGCTCTCGCAGCTGTTCCTGGACTCCGCATGTATGGAGAGGGGAGGGGAGCAGCCTGGCCCTGTGTCCCTGTCTGTGGCAATGGCATGTGTGTCGACAGAGACGGCTCTGCGTACTACCTGTGGCACGCATGCCATAGATTCGCCACACGGAACTATATATATTTGCAAATTTTAATTGGATCTTGTTTCTTTTTATTAATGTCAGGAGATAGAGTTGCATTTTAAACATGAGTTGTTAATATTATTATTAACTGTGAAGCATCCTGTCTAATAGATCAATAAATAAGATTAAATGAAAGAGAAGCACCCGCCATCACCAGTGCCCTATTCAACACAATCATCTCAGGAATGATTAGCCAAAAACATCTGCATGGGTTGGTCACGTATGTACAGATATACTATATCCTTTGAAAGAAACTATATCCTTTGTACAGAAAAGTTTCAGGAGTATGAAAACAATCTTGGATATCAGCCAGAAACATATCACCAAAATAGGCAAAAGATTTAATGGTAAAACAACAATATTGTTGCTTAAAAGTATCTGGGGAATGTGGCAGGAGTAACATTTAAAAGAGGTCTTAACGATTAATCAGATCAACACTTTTAGCAAATACACTACTTTGATTTGAATAAAACATGTTAGCTCTATTGCTTTATGTGACTTTGTAACAGTCTTTTCCCATGTATGCTTGATAATAAAAATAACAAAAAAACACATTGGAAGAATATCTGAAGGATACTGAAGAAGATGCATTGAAGTCTGTATATTAGGAAGTCTTAGTGAGTAATGGAGAGGCCAAACTGGTTTACCCAAAAGACCAAATGATGAGAAGAAACATGGAAAGACAAAGCCTTACATGGCCAGTACATTAAAAAAATGTACTTGAGCATTACTTGAACACTACTGGCACTGACAAATACAGCATCAGTCAATGGAAAATGACAGCTATAATTGGAACAGCTTCCATCCTGCAATGATATCTCTAACACCATTAAACATCAACATCTGCCTATTCCTGGTAGTTGGGGAGAATTCAAAAGGTGGATAAAAATGCCAAATCCAGTCCAAACATCTCGCTGACTGTACAACCAACCATAATATTATGGTTTGCAAAGTTTTTCAAGCTGTGGAACGTTAGTAAAAAAAAAAATGACAATAATCCCAGAACCCAAAGCTTTAAACATATAAAACTGGTTACATTTGAATGAGATACTTTTGTTACTCTCTCATAATCCAGTGTGAAAAACTCAAATTTATATAATACTCTGATAATCTTTGCCCACATTTTTCCAACATGGCAATGCAGCAATAAGGAAGCTGTACCTTTGCTAGATTTTTATTTGCCCTGCAGCAGTACAAGAGACAGAATTCTGTCCAAATAAAAAGAGCAACTATCTCTGACAAAAGGATTTACTAAACCGGAGCAGAATCCTTTTTCAATTTGGTGCACAAAATTCTCTAGAAATATAAACAATATTTTACATTTTTCTACCCCAGAGTAATTACTACTCATTTCTCACAACTGGGATACAGAGAGCAAAATCAGATACAAGATACAATCAGATACAGATATTGATCACTCACAGTTTACACCTTAATCTCTACACATTTATCTTCTACTCTCTATAAAGTTTCATTGAAGAAACCGTATCTCAAACACGATCACACACAAATAGTAGCACGTTTGGGCCAGATGAGAAATTTTGGTTTGAGGTTTCTATTTTGAGGGTTTTTCTCTTTCCCAGTCACTCCAATTTCCTGATTACCTTATTGATGTCAAAAAGTTTAACCACCATTTATCAGCATCAGATCTAATGCTGCACCCGTTTTCTCTCCACTCCATGTGTTTTACCTTTTTGCAGGTTGGTGGAGTTACAGATTTCAAATGTCCTCTGTTTAATGCTCGCAACAACTGAAGAGATGTTGGTTCATCAGCAAAAATTCAAAGAAACCTCCCAAGCAGTAAAAGAATGTCAGATAGGTGGCAACAATTCTGTTTTATAAACTTCCTTCGATCTGTCCAACTCTACTTCCTCTCTGATTGTTTCCACTTCTTCTTTCAGATGCATCACTTTGCTTTTTTTGTCTCCATTCCATTATTTTCAGTCTCTTTTTGTGATGCAACCAACACGGTTTTGGCGAGAATATTCATTTCAGTAGTTAACAAGCCATTTTTCATTAAAGCAAAAACGATAGTAAAAGAAGCAGCAACTGTGGACAGAATAAGGAAGTAAGCTGGTAAAAACTTGTACTTACTGTCCCCGTATCTCATTTCCTCAAATTTCTACCTTACCTCGAGTAGGGAAGAGTGCAGAGCAAAACAAAAAAATTAATCATTAGCTAATATCTGCTAGCAACCCTTGAGATCCTTCTTGGGAGTGTTCACTAGGTGGATATATTACACAAAGCCCAGTACATCAACGTCCCAGCTTTAACAGTGCCTTTCTATGGTCTTTCTGAAATAATGTGCAGTGATGTTTTGCACTTAAGAACTTTTCACATCTTCTATTTGTAATACCTCAAGACATTCTCTCCTTTATCCAAATAGTGGGATGGCTCAAGATGTACTATGGCAGATAACCCAAACAGTGATAACCAAATTCACTTTGGTTAGAATTATAATATGGAGACCTGGATTCAAACCCCCCATATGCAGTATATATGAAGAAAGTTTCAGTGATCTTGGCTGTTCATTTACATGCTAAACCAAGTCCAACCAAGCACATGAGGTCCTCAAGTGTTATGTGAATCCAGACTACGGATTTGTATATTGCAGTGAGCATTATTTAATATTCACTAAATTATAGATGGTTGAGTATAGGCACACCATAAACTACGGTTTACAAGCCACAAGGGATGGATTCATACAATATGCCAAGCTAAAACAAAGAAGCCAAAATTTTACTTAGCGTGACATGTAAATCAGATTGAGGTTTAAGGAAGAAAGAGATTTTCATAGGATTCAGTCTTAATCTGTCTTACATGTAGTCCCAAAAGTGCTCATCAGTTTCCTCCTGCTGTAAGGGAGACCCAATCCAGTGCTGTTTCAACTGAGCCATTCCTATTATTCCCCAGTCCTGCTGTAGTAGTGAATAATCAACCTTTGTATAATGAGAATTATACTCTTGTCACTGTCCTACATTACATCTTATTCATTATGTTCTAATTCTTAAATTAACAAGGCCCTTTAGAAAACCTATCTAGGCAGATTTACTTCCTTCTATGTATGAAGTATTCCATTTTGAATCTTAGAGGTAGGACTTAATTTGACTGATGTAATGATGGCTTTGTGAGGCTGAGCTGCAGTCATAAAATGTTAGTGTTTCAATAATAATCATTTTTCTCTACAGGGGTTACATCACTATCCTGCTCCAAACAACCACAGATGCTTCTGCTCTACTCTCCAACCACAGTCCAGACAGCCCTTGCATGGCTACTGGTAGCTGGCTTCGCAGATATTGAAACACGCTCATCAAATGAACTTGGGGGGTTGGGGCTGAGGCACAAAGGAGAAAGCCAAGGCTCCATGAATCCCATCAGCAAGAAATGTTCTTGGGAATGGCATGTTTGCAGGTGAGGGAGGCAGATGCAGGCAGGGACAAAGGCTGAGGTAGAACAGAGTGTCAGGGAGCAGTTGGCCCATGAGCTAATAGGGAACTGCACAAGCCATCTCAGCTCCAGGAGCCTAGAGGTAAAGTTAGGCAAATCATTCAAAGAGATGCTTTACTGCTAGTGACGTGCCTCTCTAGATACCACAAAACCACAGCTGCCAAGAAGGCCTAGATATTTCTACTTTGAGACCATGGGAGGACATGAAGCATCTGCACTATATACTCAAGCAGCTGCTTTGCAACCTTAAGCTGTTCCAGAAGAGTGAGTTGCTCAGAAATGAAGGACAGCCTCATAGCAAATATTTAGAAGACAATGGGATGCAAATATCAGGGATTTTATATTTTTTATTTATTGTATACTGTATTATTGATAATTTGGATAATCTTCTTGATTACTGTATGAATAGGTATAGACAAATGATAAATAAATAGTGTTAATGAGGCAGAGTGTTGAAACAACAACAAGTTTATTAACTGAGAACAGAAGCAGCCCTAAAGGAGCTGCACAGTTATTTATATGCCTCTAGGTGGCAACCAATAGATTTAAAGCAGGGGTAAGGCAACCTTGGCTCTTTTATGACTCATGGACTTCAACTCCCAGAATTCCTGAGTCAGCCATGTTATGCTGACTCAGGAATTCTGGGAGTTGAAGTCCATGAGTCATAAAAGAGCCGAGGTTGCCTACCCCTGGTTTAAAGTAACACTTTCCCACCCCAAACCTCATTATCAGCAGCCCATGCATCTAAGAAACAGAACTGCCTTCCCAACTGGCTGCGGTCCCTTCTCCGGGTGCTTTCGTAGCTGGTCAACTTCATAGTCTACGTTGGTGTTTTCCCTCCGCTCGGTGTCCTCATGGTCGACGGCTTCGGTGCTTGGCGTGCTTTTGGAGGGCCGCAGCACTTTAACGGCCCCTGCGGCGGCTTCGTCCGCCATTACCTCCTTCAAAGCCTCTTGTAGTGAGAGAGTCTCCTTAGCAAACAGTTTTTGTTGGAGCTCTTGATTCCAGAGTCCACAGACTAAGTGGTCTCGTAGTCTCTCCTCCAAATCCGCGAAATTGCAGAGTCGGGATGCTTGACAAAGAGCGGCAATGAATTCTGTTGCAGACTCGCTGGGTTGTTGCTTCCACTGCTCAAAAGCATGCCTCCACGCTATAATGTATAACTTGGGCTCAAAGTGGTCTTGGAGGTTTTTTTTCAAGTCCATGTAGGTGACCGACTCGAGCAGTGCCGGGGCAACCAGGTTCTCTGCAATGTCGAAGGTGGCGGGACCGCATATGCAGAGGAGTGTCGTGGCCTTCAATCCATCTTCAGCGACCTGGTTGGCATGGAGGTAATTTTCAACGCGGGAGATGTAGGACACCCATCTCTCCGGATGAGTTACGTCGAATTCTTCGAGCTCCCAACCTTCGCCATGGTGGTTTGTTTCTTTGTTCAATGCCTTGCACTGCTGGCTTCTGTGTAGGCCCTAGGACGGATCCTTAGGGTGTGGTGGTCTCCAGCGTGGCTTGCTGGCAGACCAAGGGGGGGGGGGACATAGTTCCTGTCAGGCTCTGTGCTGACCTCACCCCCTAGTGACTTCAAGCTTTCTCAATGAAGCAGCACATCCCACCTTCGTTGCCACTGTTATATCTTCGGTTCTTTAGGCATTGAATGAGGCAGAGTGTTGAAACAACAGCAAATTTATTAACTCAGAACAGAAGCACCCCTAAAGGCTGCTGCACAGCTATTTATACAGTTAGCCTCTAGGTGGCAACCAATAGGTTTAAAGTAACAGTTTCCCGCCCCAAACCTCATTATCAGCTTGGAGACAGCCAGTCTGGCTTTCAGTAACACTAACTGTTAAACAATACAGCAATGTAGGTCAGACATTAAGAAGTGAGTTAAAACAGTTGTGGCCAATACATTACAGGTAGATAAACAGATAGGTAGATAAACATATATCTTATAAGCTTATAAACTGCTTAGACCCTGGCAATTGATGCAGCATAAAAGCTCTTATAATAAGTATGTATTTGAGAAATCTGCAGAAGTTCCCCTGGCATGAAAATTGTTATTATCATTATTATTACTTTTACTACTACTACTATTTAACTGAAGGTATATAATCCCTAGGCAAACAATATTACACTAAGAAAATCTCTTGCAACATCTCTCCCTCTATGAACAAACCAAGCCATTAACATAATATATAAATCTTGGTAGCCCAACCTCAGCATCTAGGCATCAGGCTTCCTACATCCATTTACAAAGAAAGCTTTTGAAAACTCTCCTAAAAATCAGTTAGAGGAGCACTAGGTTCCAATATGTTGGGGCCCTCAATAAAAGGCCCACGTTCTACCCCATGGACCTCTTCTCCTAGGCTGGGAATCTGAGCAGATCCTTCTTCATCGAGGTCCCCAACCTTTTGGGCACCAGAGACCAGTTCCACGGAGAAAAGTTTTTCCATGGACTGAAGAGTGTGTGGTTTTGTGTGTGGCCTGCATCCCACGGATGGTGCTTTGCTTGTTTGTGCGGACCGGTTGCTGGCATGCCGCGGCCCTATACTGGTCCACAGACTGGGGGTTGGGGACCCCTGTTCTTGAAGACTTGACAAGACAAACAGCCTAGGCAGAGCCTAATATAACCCAGTGCTGTACCTTGCAGGGATTTAGAGATGATAACTAACTCTTTGTAACTGTTTGAGAGTCTTTGTACAACTTTGTGCTGTGCACCAGTTGTGGCCTTTCCTGGACCAGGATTCCCAGCGCTTAGTCGTTCAGTCCCTAGTCATCTCACGGCTGGACTATTGTAATGCGCCCTACATGGGGCTATCCTTTTTTTTTCTTTTTTTTTTGAAATTTTTTTATTTTTTCCATATAAACATTGTGAAAAATATATATATACAATACAATTTTAAGATAAAATAAACATTATTACGACCTGCGCACTCCCCCCAGGCCGCGTCCACCCTCTCTTAAGACATTCCCTACTTCCCTCCTCTTTCTCACCTCCCATCCTACTCTCTTCCCCTCCCCTTCTCCTCTCACTACCCTACTTCCTCTCTACACTTGCCCACCTCTCATCCCTATCAAACCCATGAACGCAGCATAAGGGGAGTGCCCAGGCCGCACCCCTATAAGCAACCATTATCTATATTACACTTACCCCCCCACATTTCCTCCCTCCCACCCCCAACCCCCCTCCCTTCACTTCCCAGAGCAGAATACAGGGTTAATAATTGAAAGAATTTTTAATAATAAGAAAAAAGAAAAGGAAAAGAAAAAAAAGAAAAAAGAAAAAAAATAATAATAAAAAAGGAAAAAAAAATCATACTTAACCTTTAACTCCAATAGCCTATAAGACAATTCTCTGTAGTATTTACTATGATATTCATTCATAAAATAAGTGAAACTTTTTAATTCCATACTTTTTCTGAATATAATCTATCCATCTTCTCCATACAGTAGTTATTATTTGTAACTATTGAAACCATGACTGTAGAGTATTTTCTTGCCTTAATACATCTAATACATCTTAATACATCTAATACATCAAATGCCAATTTGAACCAGACCAAATTAACAATTCTTTATATGAGATTTTATCGAAATTTGTCCCCTTAGAAATTCCCTCAATTGCATGTCTGGGAATCCCCCAGATAGGTATTT